GGGGGGAATAAGTGAAGATTTCCTGGTAGAAATACGCCACAAATCTTATTCCTTGAGTCTATGGATCTCTTATCAGTTTTATGCTTGAGATATCCTCAAATGAATGCATTTACATCTTAAGAGTTTTTCCTCTTCTCCTTGCAGTCAAACAACCGCACAACGAACACCATCGTTCTCAGATCAAGACATCGTCGAAAGCTTCCTACACCCCTTCTAAGCAACAATCTAAACGCCCTGCATTTGAAGTCGGTGACGGTAGGACTGGTGATTTGAGTGACAGCCTTTCCTCCCTTTCTGATGGTTCCAGCCAATTCGGTGGAAAATATGAAAGGAAGAAGAAACGTCTTTCTCCATCTGCCAAGTCCTCGAAACATGTCGGTTTGGATTTCTCTAATTGAAAAACTAGTTGTGGTATTTGATATTAATAAACGCAATATGAATGCAACATATTGAACCAGATGTGAGGTTGTAAAATAGGAGTATTGCGTCAAAGTTGTCAAAACCTTAAAATGCATTTCAGTTATGAATTCAAATTCTACTGAATACTTGAGTATCCTGGGGGACACGGGTCACAAAAGAAGAATGTAATCACGTTTTTTAACTTATTACTAATCATAAAAATTTGGACCTACTCCAAACTCTATACGCTTTCATTGATATCCCACTCATGAACCCAAAATTCTTAACCAACTCCGTATTACTACAATATAGAGGCCTTGTTTTAAGAGTTTGTTCAACTGATTGTAATTCTTACTCTTCTTCTAGAAGTCAACCGCAGAAGGGACAGGATCCACGCTAAGCAAGCCCACTCATACCAATACTCCAGCTTTTATACCAAAGAAAGACTCTTCCGCTGCTGTTCTTCCATTATCCTCTAGCAGTAAAAAGAAGCGTCAATCCTCTTCCAATCCAATTGTCCAACATGATCCCGAACTCTCCTCCCTTTCGAGTCTCGAAGGAGACAACTTTGGAGGAGGTACTTCTCAGCAACCAGCTAACTCATCCCACCGTCAACAACATCCAAACAAGCGAGGATCATCTATACAAAGTGGTTCTACCATATCTGCTTCCCATAAACCACCACCAAGCAAGAAGCCTTCTACAGCTGGCACCCCTAATCCTTCTCGGCCAAAGTATGATCTGGCTCCACTTCCAGGCACACCAGATATCCGCACCCAACACGAACAGAGACGAAAAGCCAAGGCCCTAGCTGCCAAAAAGGCTGTGGAAAGGCAACAATTGATGGAGAAGAGTAAGCAGCTCCAGGATACCTCCCGTTCCCTCACTTCACCCCAAAATGTGGCCTCTCAGCAACCCAGAAATGAGGTAAGCGGTTTTGGCGGTATTTTGGGAACTTTCTTGGTATTATCGGGGCCCTCTCTGTTTTACTTAAACCTCTTTTCCTATTGTGGTATGTGTTGTTTTGTTTTAGAAACAATCTTCAAAAAGTGAGCCTTAAAGTTATTTAGTAACCACCCCCTTCCTTTCCCCCTCCTAATCCCCTTCCTCTAATCTGGTATGCCTGTTTTGTATTCTGCTCTCTCTTTCTCTCTTCAAATTTAATTCTTCTTGCTTCCTTATAATCTGATTTACACCATATAATCCCGCATTACATAGTTATTAGGTTAACATAGGTTTTTTTATTTTTTTGAAAACAATTTGCTCGTTATAACAGGGAACATGGCTTTGCCTGTGAGTTGTAGATACAGTTTTGATAATTGGCATGTTCAAATCAACGATCTGCTTAAGGTTCATCCCATCCAATTACGTGTCCTACGTATATTCGAATATGGGAGCCAGAAAAGTGATTGAGTATGTCTATCAGGTTTGTACGATAATAGGCTTTTGTTTTAACTTTATTTATCTATACCAAATGGCAGGCTTTATGCTAGTTGACTTTGGACATCACAGTGGAGGAGGAACATCAATGTTGTAACAAAGTCGAGTGGGGGGGGGGAGACAGAAGAGTGATTCGCCAATGTTAAAGAGACAGGCACGAAGGTAGAGAGTGGGATAAGGTAAGAACTGTGGAAATGGGCAAATATGACATACAGTGGGGTCAGGGTACTTTAAAGTCAATTGGCGGTTAATGGATTTTTTGTCGTATGAGTGTGCGCTGCCCAGAGTGTATCACGTGGAGGTAAGTCTGCCACACACAAGTTTGTATAGAAAGTGGGAACTGGGACGTGCAATGAGAAAAATCGTTTCTTTACTTGGACTAAAATTTATTCCTGCTTCTTGTACGATCGGATTGGGCACGTGAATCAATACACATCAACGAAAGCAGATGCCAATGAGAGGGCAACCACTTTTCTTTGTCTCACTGGATATTGCCTTCTCAAACACCATCACACTGTAGGTTGGGGTTTTTGGTTTCTCAATAGTCTCTGTCGTTCTTCTAGTTAATCCTGAAAGGAAAAAATAAGGTTCTTATTGTATCACAAAGGGTCTTTAACCTTTGTGGTGTTTACAAGCTTATCTTCGGATCTAGTTTTTCTTAAGCTTTTTTAGCTATTTTTCGATTTGTTTATAAACCTACAGGATTTGAGCTTACGATCTCTAGCTAATTGTTTTCATTTTTCTAATAATTTTCCTTTAAATTGACTTGCTTTTATTTCTCTAATTTGGTTGGTGTATGCTATTTTGCGTTGACATCAGTCATCGGCTAACGATTTACTTCCCCTTCTGAGGATTTGCTTACTCAACCCCCCCCCCCCCCCCCCCCCCCCCCTCACCCCCACCCCCCTCCTCCAAATTCCAGCTCCACCTTAAATGCCATTTACTCTTTTAGACATAGGTCATCAGGGCTTCTAACCCTGCCACCAATGTGACGTAAGTTTTAGTTGATTCCTTAGATGATTTAGCCAATCGCCCTTCTCTCTCTTATTATTTTAATTTCATTTTGGCTGACGAGGAAAGGACTTTTGAACTTCTCTCTAATTCATTTGTGTTCTTTCATCCATTTTGCAGTCGCGGAGATCTTGTCGCCCACGATTGGGAGCTGATGATAGTGACGAGAATAGTGATTCTTCACTTACCATGAAATCTTCTTCCTCCTCTGAGCACTCCTACTCCTCCGACGCCTCGTGTTCCGATTAGACGGACTCCCTCCTTCCCAGCATTTCGTAATGTGTTTGTATACAACAACTAAAATTAGTTACCTTTCCTCCTCTTCCCCNCTTCCCCGCCCCCCCCCCCCTCCTCTTTCTCCCCACCCCTTTTCCCCATTCCAATATTTTATACGTACGTTATACTTTCCTCTGTTTGCTAGTATTTCTCCTTCATTTCCTCATCTCATGATCTTTATTATCTTTTCACATGTGTGTGTGTATGTGTGTGTTAAAGACTCGTATTACAAATGTTCTTTAGGCGTTCTCTGTTTATCTTTTCTACTTCTTTGTTTTGCCGCAGCACAAATCGGTGCAAGCCACCCCCTCCCTCTCCACGTTTATTGATTTTTAACAATTTGAGTGCTTGCTGCTGCGTTGCACTTACGCTCCTTCGCCTACATCTTTATGATATTATCTCTATATTTTGATAGTTTTATTGATCATGCGTTTGTAAGATCCATCTCTCTCTCTGTTCCTCTTGTTCTCTTTCACAAATCTGTATCTATACTGTTCTAACTCTCTATTATCTCACAGTTGTTTCTCGGGTTATGTGCCCAATTGCAAAAGGAAGAAGAAATTAACTAACAAGTGTCAAATTGCTGTGTCTTTGTCTTATTTGTCCATCCATCCGTCCTGTTTTTCTTGGCTTGTTGAAAATTGGGCTTGATTTTATAGTTAGCCGCATTACTACAAAGGAAATTGCCAAATTTTGATTTGTGGGAAGGAACTGGGATAAATCAATAGTTGAGGCGAGGGAATCAACAGATAATGATTGTCAGCTGTTGATTTAGTTAAATTTCTATAATCACATTTTTCAATGTCTACAAAATGAGTGGCTTAGTTCTCACAATTCAAACCTGAGAAAATGTTGGCCCATGAGCAGAATTCTCCTGTTTGACATTCTGTGTCCAACAGCTTTAATGTAACAGAATGAAGAGACGCCACGTCACATTTGATGACGTTGATGTTTGAAGGAGTTGAATGTGCTTCTACTGTAGCGGCGAGAAGCAGTATTTTACCACATGAGTTTGTTTCACCTGTGTGTACTTAGTTATTTACTACGTGTCGATTAGATGTTATGGAATAATTACTTTGTATGTGATCCTTGAGCAGAATTTAAAAAAAATGATGAAAGTAATGTTGTTTTAGTGTTGGTAATTTCAATCGCTTCTATCCCATTTTCAGTCCATAATTTTTAAACAATTCTCTTGAACTTCAACTAACCTCTAGCCGTGTCCACGGGTATAAGTTTGCTACCAAAATTAGCTAGTGTATGTTCAAATTAACACGAATACACGATGTAACGTGTAGTGAGAACCAAATTCGAAAATGAGGGATAATTGAGTCTAATTGAGGCTAAGTTGCACTCCTAGTGGTTGCTGATTGGCTGCCCTCTGCACTCATAGCCGCGATTCGTACTGCGTGCGCATTCTCCAGAATACTCTAACGCACGAGATCCCTTTGGGTAGCCTTGATCCTCTAGAGTCATCCTTTCGACTTCTAATCGAACAACTCCATTTATCTCTTATTGAACAGCAAAAGCTGTTAACTATATCAAACAGAAAATAATTGAATTGTACTGTCTAAGAGTAATGGAAACTGGAGGAGAAAAACAAATAACGAAGAAGGATGACGAGGGAGAATCGAAGATCATACCGCCTTCACAAATGGTCATGGAATTACCGTTTTTTCCGGTTTTCGAGATTAGTTATGATTTAACGAGTTCTAATTGCTGATCACTATTCTTTAGCTGCACCGATTAGCCACAGTTCATACGAATGCATAATTTGTAACGATAATTTATCATCGAAGAATTTCAAATTGAAGGTAGACAAAAATTTTAGTCAGCTATTAGTGAATTTTTCAAACATTCATATCTGGTTAAATGCCTTCTTATGAGCTATCATGAATTTATAACTTGTGATTTATTGACATTTGACATTTAAATTCGTTTTAAATTAAAGTGAGTAATAAGTAGTCCTAATTTCATTGATTTATTGGATATAGTTCTTATGAGTCAATATCATTTCTAATATTCTGACAGTCTGAAATTTGAACCAATGTAGGATGCGATTCACTAAAAGCCCTAAAGCTTTCATGCAAAGTGTTGATACACGAAACAGCAAAATTTCGCATTAAAATTCAACCAAGCATTAGCTCGGGTGGTAATACTTATATCAAACGCGTCTAACAGATAGCTATACCTTGCAAGAACCAATATTGGCATGATGAGTGAGTTTTAAATTAATTTATATGAAATAAATCAAGTTAAAACCTTCTTGATATCGGGCATTTCTTAGTCTTAATATTATGAAGTGACATAGTTTATTCGGATGAAGGTAAGATAAAATGATTTCAAATAATTATCGATTAAATATAGTCTTGTATGGTAGTTATTATATTCATACGAATAATAATGGCGATTAAATAGAAATCATTTTAATTACAGGAAAATGAGATTTCCATACACTTCAAAAATGTCTATAGATTTTGTAAAAGTTTGTTATCTGTCAAACAATTTTCTACAAAGATATAAAATTCCGTGTTACATTAATCGATATTTGATAATAATTTAATATTAAAAGCACTCAGTATTTGACACCGATAATTCAATGTAATTAAAAACAATGTTTTAGAAAAACCATTAAAGGTTATAAATAACTCTTTATTAAAAGCTGTCCATGTCGAAATTTAAATATACTTTGTTTAAATCACTGAGTAGTCTTTCGACATCCCTGTTTGCGCGTATTCGTTAAGCGTGAGTTTCGTTCATTGATTTTAATTTATTTTTGTTATTCATACGTTTTTAAATCAGTGAGTAATTGCTGGTGTTCAAGTAAACTTGTATATTTGATAGCTGTCAAGTTGCTAAATATGCCTCGTCGCAGTTCTAACAAGAGTTCAAGTCCAGTTCAAAGACGCCAAAGTGCTCGTATTGCCGCTGCCAGCGCTAGTAGATCCCCTTCTTCTACTTCCCCATCTACTAAGAGAACTAGAAGGTCGTCCAAGGTAGGTTTACCAATAATTAGTTTATGGGTTTTAGCGCGATTCATCCGCCAAATCCGACGCTAGCTTTGGTAGCGCGGACCACAACGGTAACGAAAGCAGCCCCAAGCAAAGCATTGTTTTGGAAGAGCCACCAGAAAAGAAGTCTCGGGTTGAAGGTATTTAAGTATTTCTCATATTTCAATTACCAGAAACAAATGATACTGTGGAAAAGGATCCCGAGCCAGTTAAGGAAGATACACCAAAGCAAGAGACTGTCACTGACACAGACGCATCGAACGCTGAACATGATGGTAACCAAAAATTTTATTTCTTTTGTCTTCGTGCTGTTGCTTATTAAGCTTATTTTCACCACTTCTTTCAGCTGTCTTTGAAATTGTGAGTCATAATTAGGTCAAATTCATGGATATATATGTGTATATACATGTAGCCGTCACATTATAGTTTTTAGTGATGTGCGCAAAATATGCGTTTGTGCGTCTAAACTTATTTTTGCTGATATTGATTTGTGATTTTTCTCACAGTCGCCAAAGATGCGGGATTTGAAGTAGTGGATAAGGCAAGCACTCCTTCTGCAGATAGTGAAGAAGTCAAAAAAGCGATTGAAGCTCAAGGTGAGGATGGGCAACTGCTAGTAAATTATGTTCAAGTAGTTAAAGAGGATGTCCCGGCTGTCGTTCCAGAGGTAGCTTCTTCAGCTCTTGATGAGAATCAAAATCAGCAACCTACTAACGGGACAGATAAGGGTGGTAAGTATCCTCTTACTTATTTTTCCCTTTTTTCTATCTTTTTCTTATTTTGTTCTCTTTAATTGAGATGATGCTCCCGCAGAGCCTACTAGTGAGAAACACTCTGCTGAACAGCCCAAGGAAGAAGTCCTTGATGTAGAGGAGGCTTCTCATTAAGCTTTTCATAAACAGTGCTATCACTCCTCACCATTTTTGTCCCCGTTAATAACCTGGTGACTTCCAAGCATAGTTCTGTTTTCCGGCATTTGTCCGTCCCATAAATCTTGTACACAGTAAATGATATATACACACTTGCCGCCAGTGTGAGCTCACATTCACCTTTTGGATCTTAAAATAATCTCGTTTTTGCATTGGTGTCTCTTTTAGCTTTCTTATTTTACCTGTCCGTTGTATATTTCCCCTGTAACGATCTGGTTACCTGCAATCCCCATTTCTCATACCTCCGCGGTCCTCTTTTCCCTTCCTTGCTTATTAATATCAGATCCGTTAATATTATATATTTGTAATCCTTTGGATGAATGCGTTAATGTTCACAATTGATATATACAAACGCTAACCGTGCTTAACGGGTGTAAATGTCTCGTTTCTTCTATATGTTTAACGGGGGCTTGTTTTTCGTCTTGCTTCTTCACACGTGCTGCGCTCGGATTTGATGTAACGGGTTCTCTGTCTGGATGTTAAACAGTGGTTTTATAGATTGGGTTTACGCTTTATGAAGTTTTCCGTATATAATCTAAAAGATGGCTTAAAGTCCATCTGAGTTTATTCACAGTGAACTAAGTGCGCTTCTAAAATTTAGGAGGTAGGGGAACAGGCTTAGGGTGGGTATCAAGTTTAGTCCACTTTTCTCCAAGCAACCAGAGCAGGTTTTCAGCTTCAGATCTATCAACCGGATCCGAAGGCTTCTCTCTTTTCAAATTCGTATAGACGGGTATCGTTTGGTCATTAGGAGTTGTGGAACCACCGCTCTGTGGAAGTTCAAGACTGTCCCTTGTAGCCACAGTGCACATGACTTCAGTCGGAGTAACTCTTTGAGGTATAATTCGAGTGATGATGTAGCCCAGCGTGAGATAGCTCCGTCCAATATTCCGCAACCATCTACTTGGTGCACTCAACCAACCGTTTTCTGTTTTATTTACTTCCGGAGGGGAGGTTCTGTTAACCAAGAGGTCTGCGATAAGCACAGTAGGTCCACTTTTACCCGTCCGTTTGGCCAGTTCGCTAAAGAGAAGACGTGTTAGGAATTAAGCAAGCCGTCAAATCCCGATGGAAGTCTCTTTTTGGGCTTCCCACTCAAAAACACCAGGATAGTAATTAATACGGCAAGCACACGACAAAACCCACACGCACACCAAAATGCTCGTGCGTGGGGACCTGTCTGCCAGTCTAAATCACCATTACACGGGGGGGGGGGGGGGGGGG